GGATGTACTTCAAATACACAGTGGCACCAACGAGCTTGGTCATGACCCCTGGCCAGCAGATCCTGCTGGGGTTGCAGAATGCAGGTGGGTGTAATAAAGATCTCTGGCAATTTTTTTTATTCTTCTTTTTTGTTTCAAGACGGTATCTTCCTCAATGGCAGGATCCTTTAGTGACGTGAGTTCCAAATTACCTCATCAGACATGAGCAGTAAACTAAATTAACGGCAGCGTACTAAAATTCACAACATCAAGTGGCAATTTGGTGGGGGTTTGTGGGGATCACTGGAAGGGGAACAAACACACACGGTTGAAAAGGAGAGGATGATAGCGGCTGCTGAAGGACAGTGAGACACTGGACCATTGTGAGGTTGGACAGGGAATCTGTAGCCTATACATGGGACTAGGAACAAGGCAGAGAGCGCAGGTTTATATTTAATTTTGATATCCTACTACTATCATGCTGGGTAACGAGAACCAAATTAGAGGGACAGGCAGACCTTTGTGTGAAGTCTGAAAATGACAGCCCAGAGAGCAGTCACTCAAAAAGCTCTTGAACATCCAAGCAGAGTTTTAAAATACAGCAGAACCTGACAAGGTAAATAAACCGAAAGCAAAATGCTGGCACGGTAGTATTACACACTGCTAGTCTAGAAATCGGGAAGCAGATGGGAGTAATGCTGGATCACCAAAGCTCAAGGATCTCACGTGTTTATTTGCACAGCTAAATCAAGACATTGACTAGGCTAAAGACGCATAAGGTAGGGAGATAAAGTAGCTGATGAAATGGGTTGGAGAAGGCTCCCAGGTTATGGAAGGTGCCTGGTAGCATTTAACTGAAATCTGAAGCTGTCGGATTTGTACTGAGTTGCAATCATGTGTCTGACTTCTCTTTTTTTTCCTGTCAGTGGATTAACCACGGAGTCCTGTAGGGACGAGATTTTTCTAGTGTGCCTTTTAGCATCGTTTTAAAATTGCCTTACGATAGCGCTGTGTGTACATCTTGTTGTGCGTTTAAAGCGGGGAGGAGAGTTTGGGGCTGCTGCATCCACAACGCTAATTCTGTTTTTCCTTATTGCAGCCGTACAAATAACTCCACCACGTGAGCTGGCAGCAAAGAAGGTCCCGTCTTCGACGCCTTCTCCTCCAATCCAGGGTCAAAGTGTGCTGAGTTACAGCCCGTCCCGCTTCCCTAGTGCCAGTCCAAAGTTTACTACCAGTTATATCGCAGGGTACAGCCCTCAGCTACAGGCTCTGTCAAGCAACAGTGCTTCTTACGGCAGTGCTGTAACCTATTCACCAAGCAGCAGCTACGATAAGGTAATGAGCAAGACAGCTCCCAAGGGTACAGTTTGGTCCTTGTTTTGTGCCATATGCCACTGAAGTTGAGCAGCAGCCAGCGGAGAGTTTCGTATATGTATGTTTGCTCTTTTGCAAAGTAGGTGCAGATTTGTTGTATCGGGATTTGTCCTTTTCCCTAGTGTCACTTAATTTGTTTTAGAGTGGGTAGTTTCTTTCAGAACAAAGCAAAAAATAAGAACCAAAAATGTATGTACAAAGCAGGAAAAAAATGCAACCCAAACCACAAACAGGAGTCTTTTATATTCATGTCATTTACAAATCAAGGTGGAATTCTGTATTCCTCATATGACACAACTGTTTGTTTTTATTCGCCCAAGCTTTCCAGCTTCAGCTCCTCTCCCAGTGGTTCACCATACTCCCCGAGTATCGGACAGATGGACAGTGGCGGGGGAAAGTCTCGTTACCGTTCTTCGCCCATTCTGTATAATTCTCCTACTGGCAAAGAAGACTATATCACAGACCTGAAGTCACTGGAGACCTTCCTTCGAGCTGAAGAAGAGAAACAGCGCAGAGTTCAACTGGGTGAGTAAACAGATTTGATCTGAAAAGCTTGGTAAGGAGAAGGTGTTGGTTTTATTCAAGAGTTCTTTTGCGGATGAGAAAAGTTGCAAAAGATTCCAGCGTACTCTTACTAGTAAGTAATCACCTGTGACCTTGGTAAAGGCAGCTGCTGAACAGTTTAGTCTTCTACTGAGTAATTAGGACCTGAGGTAGAACGCCATCGTTTCTACATGTCTCCGTGGCTTAGGACCTTCAGAAAGTTTTTCTCCAAAGTATTCCTTTGGATAGGATATATGCTGCTGTTGCAGCCTCTGGAAACGTGTACTGATAGATTGTCTCTGTAGCATTTGTGGACCATGATAAGATGATGGGCTTTATCACATTGATGAGAGGGATATCTTGTGGACAAGGCATTTCAGATAAAGGGGGTGAATTCCCTGCAGGGGGTGAATTCCCTGCAGGCAGTTTTTGTCCTGGATAGGGACAATTAAGATAAGGGTGAAATGAGTGTTCACGCAGACTGACTTCGGTGTATGTATTCATGGCAGTTCATGTTCGTGTCTCTTATCGAAGCCTTAATATACTGATGTTATTGCCTGTACTGTTGCTTCCAGAATTACTTGGCAATAATTGTACATGACTGTTTAATGAATGAATCGTTTCAGGAAGTTCAGATTCCAGCTCTCCTTCCAGCAGCCCAACTTTTTGGAACTACAGCCGTTCCATCGCAGACCATGCACAGACACTAAGAAAGTTCCAGTATCAGCTGGCTTGCAGGTCCCAGGCTCCATCGGCACACAAGGACGAAGCTGATCTGAGCTCGAAACAGGCTGCAGAAGAGGTAAATTTGGCTGCAAGGTGGTCAAGGGGGAGAAACAGGCCTCTAGAATATACAGCTTTGTGCAAAGGTTTGGATTTCAGCTGGATCAAAAATGTTGGAGAGAGAAATCCTCTAGCATTTAACCGTCTTCGTACAGCTTGCCAGACTCCTCGTCACTGTAAATGGATGTTTCAAATTCTGAATTGTAGTTGGAGAATCATTTCTTCCTTGGAGAGCAAGGCTTACACTGGATAAAATGCATTTGCAGCATAAAGGTTAAGTTGAAACTAATCTGTATTTAACCCAGTGGAACAGCTGAAGGATATACAGCACTGCCTCTGTGCTTGCGTCTGAAAGAAGTCTGATGCAAAGGAATACAATTCATGTGGCTTCAATTAAATTTGATCAATTTTCTTTACTTCCTACATTAATCTAATGAAGCTTCCCATTCAAATACCTCTTAAATCAAGCCTACAATTCAGATCTGTTTTATCCTAATAGAGCAGACAGCTAAAAACTGAATTTGAGCTCATGCAAGATGGTTGTACTGTGAATAGAGAGCAGGAGTGTTGTATGTGAAGCTGCTGTAGAAGTCATGTGATACAACAAGCAGATGTATAAGAATTTGGGGAAAGCTGCGATTTTAATTATGCGCTGTAGTTGGTATCAGAAATTGCCGTAGACCCTAAAAATTCTTGGTATTCTGTGAAGTTCTTACATGTACTTAACAAACCTTTCCATAGGTTTGGGCACGGGTTACAATGAACCGACAGCTCCTTGATCACATGGATTCCTGCACCGCTAAGTTCAGAAACGTAAGTCCCGTCTCTATGGACTGCCTGATTTTTAAGGTTTTTAAGAACAAGCACAGCAGAGTGGAAAAGCACTTCCATGTCCCCTGTATGCCGAAGGAGGCGGGAAGAATTGCAGTGTCTGTTTGAGGATTGGGGTGGGCTGGCACAGGGAGATAAAAACACAACGTGCTTTTAGAGACGGCTACTGAGATGCGTTTTCAACCTCACCTCAGTGTTTTCTATTCTGAAAACTTCACAGTTGTCAAGTTCATCCACTTTTGAATGAGAAACAAAAGCAGCTGGGATATGACAAGATTTGGTTTTCCTTGCTGCAACTCAGATTGCTAAATTGATGTTTCTGCAGTATTTCTAACTCGTTCTCCTGAGCTCAAGACATGGAAACTTCCAACCCAAAGGCTGATTTTTTTTTTCCCCCTGACAGTCCTGAGCAGCGTAATAAAAAGCAAAACCAAAACCTTGATCTTATTGCTAGGAATTGCTAGAGCAGTGGAGAATTAATTGCACACATGATGGCAAAATAATTAGTAAATCTAGCTTTGAATTGCCCCTTCAGTCATAGCATCTGTGAAGTACGTAGTTTTGCTTGTGTGTTTTGTGGTTTGGTTTGGTTTGTTTTTAAAGTAGTAAGACTATATGTATTCTAATTTAGTTATTTTCCTCCATGGTTGGCTTCAGTGTTTCTGTTGTTACGCTTCTTTGTGATTGTAACTGTGATGATTAGTAGGATGTAAGCTAAGGGTTGGGGTTTTTTTAACATTTTTGTTGTTTCTGACCTCTTGAATTTTCACATTTTTCATTCCTAGTGGATTAACGAGACTATTCTAGTGCAGCTGGTCCAAGAGATTGAGTCTGTGAGCACTCAGCTGAGAAGAATGGGGTGTCCAGAACTGCAGATCGGAGGTAGGACGAGACAGGAGCTTTGGAATTCCTTTCAGTACTTAAAGGGGGCCTATAGGAAGGATGGGGGCAATCTTTTTAGCAAGGCCTGTTGTGACAGGACAAGGAGTAATGGTTTTAAACTAAAGAAGAATAGATTTAGACTAGACATAAGGAAATTTTTTACAATGAGGGTGGTGAAGCACTTGCACAGGTTGCCCAGAGAGGTGGTGGAGGCCCCATCCCTGGAAACATCCCAGGCCAGGTTGGACGGGGCTCTGAGCACCCTGCTCTGGTTAAAGCTGTCCCTGTCACTGCAGGAGGTTGGGCTGGATGGCCTCTAAAGGTCCCTTCCAACCCAAAGCATTCTGTGATTCTATGAATCCCTGGTACTGGCTGATGGAGGGCCGCTCCATAGCCGGGGCGTTGGATAGGTGTTATATGCATTAGGGCTGTTAAATATTACTGTTCCATTTCCGCTCTGTATTGCACAGTCTTTGTTCCATGTCATGCATTTCATTAAGCTGGAAAGGTTCCTCAGAAGACTTCTGGAAATACTGATGAAGTCACAGTGATGCCTGTCTCATGTAAAATTCATAAATCCTTTTTTTTCTTTTTTTTTTTCTCCTCCCCTTCCCTAAACTTGCTGCTGGGGAATTACAGGCTCAAATGATTGATTATTGCATATTAAACTGTCAGAAAACATTTCCAGGATAGATGTGCTATAAACTATCAGTGTCTCCAGTCCTATGTGCTTTGCCAAATTTTTCCTTGCTTTCTGAAAAAACTGGGTTGTTTTAAATTCTGATGAGCTGGAGTTCTGTATTTCATCTAATGATGCAATTAGGAAGGAACTGCTTCTCTTATTGCTTCCAATTTACATCCCCTTAACCAAAAAGTGGATTTGATGTGCAGCGGTTAAATGAAAGACACCTTTGTGGGCTATTTGCTGTAGGGTCTCCTCAAGAGCCATGTCCATTGTGATGCCTGTGGAAAACTGATCCATGCTGGCCTCACCCCCACCTCGTTACTCTCCCTCTGCTCTTCAAAGTGGATGTTGGTTCCTTGTAGCTGGTATATTCTGTGACATACAGCCGACAGCTACTACTTCATTGGGATTGAAATGAGTGGTTGGGGTAGCATCACATGTTAAATGTTTCTAGGACCGTAATGGTGCACCAAAAAGGAGAGCTCTTTGTAGCGACGCCTGGTAAGGGAGGCTGTTTGGAGTTCTGCAGGGGTCATAGCTGACCTGTGCTGGCTCTTCTTGTGTTGCAGAAGCCAGCATCAGCAGTCTGAAGCAGGCAGCGCTTGTTAAAGCTCCACTCATTCCGTCCCTGAACGCTATAGTGCAGTATTTGGATCTTACACCAAACCAGGAGTATTTGGTCGAAAGGATCAAAGGTACGTAGTGTCACTGTACTGACTTTAAAACACTTCCGTTACCACAGCCAAGTGTTGCTGGCATCAGACATTCCTTCGGTGGAGATGTTTGAAGAGCCACGGCAGAGATGAGAGCTGCTTTTAAGCAGGAGAGATGTTTCTTTGCAACTTTTCCTTTTTATAGCGACAGAACGATGCAGGCCTTGGATGAAACTTTGGGAATGTTTTTTAAAAGCTTTATTTCTCGTTTTCCTCCTGCATGCTCGGGGTGCAAAGTGCTGGATTTAATCTCTTCATTAGCTACAAATTATCCTGTAAATTTACCTCCCCGTATTATTACCTTTTCAAGCATTTCATTAGCTGAACTTTTCCTATTTTGTACACTGGAAGCATGGATGAAGCCCCTGAAACTAGCCTAAAACACCAGTTTCATGTATTTTCAGCCCCTGGTAACTGAAGAAATCTTGTTGCTTTCAGAGCTTTCTCAGGGAGGATGCATGAGTTCCTTCCGATGGAACAGAGGAGGGGATTTCAAAGGCCGCAAGTGGGACACCGACTTGCCCACTGACTCCTCGGTAAGTTTTAGAAGACGTCTTTGTAACGACGGCTTAAAGTGGGTTGCCTTTCTGCGCAGGTTTTGAAGGTTGTAGGGGATAGTAAGTCTTTTGAGGAACACAGTAAAATCCCATTTGCATCACTTTATGCAGGTAATACTGTTCTAGTCGGTGAGATTACGTGGGGAATAATGCAAATGGGATTGGACATTGCGGAGATCCCAAACATGCAATTGCAATTGCCCAGAGAGTAGTCGTGAATGGAGTTAAGTCCAGTTGGCAACTGGTCAGGAGTGGTGTTCCCCAGGGCTCTATTTTGGGGCCAGCCTTGTTTAACATCTTTATCAATGATCTGGATGAGGGGATTGAGTGCACCCTCAGTAAGTCTGC